CGCCAGTGCTGCCGCCCTGCGCAACGTGAGCGGAGCCGCGGGGGTGGCGGGCCCGGCCCGGGGCGGCTGCGCGATTCTGCAGCTCCTCTGAGGTGCCGCCCGCGGAGAGAGGGAACCCGCTCCCGAGGCGTTCTTCTTGGAACGAGGATTCAAATACCGTGTTTTGACACAGGGGTTTTATTTTCGTCAGTTGTGTTTTGAGGAGGCGCTCTTCTCTACGAGCGGTACTGTAAGAATTTTTTTAAGAGGTCAACCTTGCCTTGCAATTTCATAACTTAATTGGCAAAACGGATTGGCACTTTTCTACCGGAAAGTGCCATGATGCTAATTGTAATGCTTTTGTATAGGCATTTATTTAAATAGTATATTATCATTCTTGCTTATGATTACAGCCTCTTGTATGTAGCTGAGTAAACGCAGGAATGTATGGCAAGCCAGGAAGTCTCATTAGTAAACAACACTTATATTTTCATCTTAAGTATGTTTTTAAATTTAAACTAATTAATCATTACCGTGTTGGTAAGTATTGTTGCAGCTAGGTTGCAACTGGAAAATGAGAATCTAAGGTTCACTTTTTTAAAAGCACATACAAACAAGATATGGTGGACCTCGGAACTTCTGAGCAGCCACTGCTGCTAATGATTTTTAGAAATCAGGCGTGATCATTTACACCTATAAAAACAACCAAGTGATTAGCTACTGGAAATAGTTTCAGTGACCTCTCTGGCCTCCCAAAATAAGTCAGTGGTAAAATTGTAACTCAAATTTGGGAAGGCATATGTGTGGACATATTCAGGCTGGTATATACAGACAAATTGGCAATTCTGTGCTTTTAAGGAGCAAGTTTATATAACCTAAACAAATTAAGAAATTTCACATTAGTTCAATTATTCAATTGAGTTCAACAAATTCTTGCTCTCTAAGCTTTCATAATACCATTCCTAAATAAAAAATTAAAACTTTTTTTGGTTCAACTAGTTTTAAAATAACAATCCCTCCAGCCACCTCGGGCCCTTAGACACAGGTTTCTTAAGCTGCTGTCCTGCATTGTGTATATCCGTCCTTTTTGCGCTCACGCACGTTTGTTTTCCCTTCTGCCAAGGTGCTGAACCAGATGGGAAGAAAAAAATGCTGGGTGTTAAACCTCTAACACAATTGGTAAGCTTAGTGTAAGGAGAGCATGAAGGGGATGAGTCAGAAAATAAAATAGTTTTATTGGGACTGCTTGCCTGACTGTGGTAGCCAAATTCCTATTTTAGCGGTGCCTGGTGAACAAAGCAACAGGCTGTAAGGTTCTGGAGATCTACTTGTATCTCTGTAGTTGACCTCAAGGATGGAGTATGTGGACATTGTGTTGGCACAAAGTTGAAATTTTACAGGCAGTGAAATATGCTGTGCTTTTCTTTCTAACCAGCTGGTGTAATAACTTCTTTCTGGAATGTTCACTGAAAGGCAGACACAGTTACTCAACTAAGTAGAAAGAAGAGGGATTGGATAATTGCCAAGAACATGTACATCAATCAGTGATTGAGAGGAAAGTTTACTCATAAAAGAATGCTGTGTAGCATGTGGGATAACTGTTGATCTTCAGTTACAGAGTCTCTTTAATTTCCAGCAGATTCAAAGATCACAAGCAACTGTCCTGTAAACACAAGGGGAGAAAACCAATCCTATTTGGTAACAATGAGGTAAGTTGAGAGTTTTTTTAGACTAAAATAATTTACATTCATATTTTCAAGCATGGTATATACACTTTGGAAAAAAGTTATCAAAACTTGTCTGAAAAAACACAGTCTCTCAAAAGTTGTAATTGACGAGGCCGTCCTGGGTCACTTAATTTGACCAGAATTCCCTGCTGAAAGCCTAGAAATTACTAATGGAGTAACATAAGTAATATGTATGGATGAGTAACTGTTTAGCAGTAATCTTAGAATATTAATAATTGTATTCAATTCATACTAATCTTGTGAGTAAAGGAGGAAGAACAGATGTGGGTGACACAATTGAGGGGCAAACTATGGAAGGCAGTGACTGCTGGTTCCTGCTGAGTTTACAGTTTATAAATGTCTGGAGAACTGCAAGTGCTGCCTAAGAGGCATGAATGTCAGGGCTACCTTTGTAGGAGCTGTTTTTTAAGAGCTGTTTAGTTCCAAATCAGGAGGATCCAGAAACCGCTGCTGTTTGCTAAGGCTGCTCCCCCAATTAGCTGATACATAGCACCTAGCATCTGACATTCCCAGTTGCTGCTGAGCTCTAGATGTAGCAGACCAGCTGTTACTGATGTCGTTGCATTCCTACATTGCTCCATTTGGCATGTTTCTTTTGCTCCACCTGTGTTACAGCCTCAGTATGATTAGAATCATGTTTTCCACATTAATAACCATTATTGAGCAGATATACAAACAAAATGTCCAGCAAATCAGATTGTTCCTTCTGTGTATGGTGCCTGAGCAACAGGAAAAGAAAGAGCATTTAACTTCCTCCTTTCTGCCAGAGCTCTTGAGGAGGCACCTTCTCTCCCTTTTGTTTGCTAGCTAAGGCAGAGCTCCTGCAGCACTGAAAATCCTGAATCTGTATAAATCTGCTTTCTAATTTCAGCTGGATGAGTTTGGTGAGGTATCTAAATGTTCAATCAAAAATGCAGTTACTGAGAAAATGAGAGGATGAACAATATAGAGTTAAAGAATGATTCTAGATTCATTTTCACAAAACAATGAAATTCAAAGTTAACCAAAAAAAGTGAAAGCCAAGTAAACATAGAAATGGAGTGCGAGAAGTATCTGTCTTGATAGTTAAAAGTAATTGGCCCAAGTCCAAAATCTTCCTTAGTTATTTAATTAAACAAAAGTCTACTTAATATTGTGGAACTTTTGCTTAAGTAAGGGAGATAACTATGCATGGGATTAATGACCTTTCTTTTCCTGTTACTTGTTTTGAAGGTATTTTCACTTCTGTAAGCTTCCAGGAAGAGTTATGGGAATCCGCCTACTACGCTTGACTTCTGTGGTGATCGTTGTCTTACTTCTTGTGGCAGGTGCTTTAACAGCTTTGCTTCCCAGTATCAAAGATGACAAAATGCCCAATCTGAGAAGGGAACCAAAAACTCTGAGTCAATCTGCCTTGGATTCATTTACTCTTATTATGCAGACATATAATAGAACTGACTTACTGCTAAAGCTCTTAAATCATTATCAAGCCATCCCCCACCTACATAAAGTAATCGTTGTGTGGAACAACATTGGTGAGAAGATACCGGAGGAAATGTGGAATTCCTTGGGGCCTCATCCTGTCCCTGTTGTCTTTAAAGTTCAAACTGTAAATCACATGAGGAACAGACTCCAGAATTTCCCTGAGCTGGAAACGAAAGGTAATTCATATCGCTACTACTAATATTATTCTCACACTTAAAATCTGAATGCTAAGAGAGAGTATAATTTGAGTTATACTATGTAATAAATCCATGGATCTGTTGGGCCACTTAATAGAACGTGGGTAATATTGAAGAAACCTATGTTATGATATCAGATGCACGTCACCACCACCACCAGCACACTATCAGTGAAGAGTAAGGAAAATAAGAGGGATGTCAAATGCATTTCACAGGCTTTTGCAACTGTGTCTGTTCTCCATTTCCTTTGTCAGGCAAACACAGGTAGTTAAGCCTCTCTTCCATTTATAGTGTAAACTGAAATTCATAGTGCATTTATTTGTTGCATATCTGCATTAATCTGCACTTAAGTCATCTGATAAAGACTTGGTATAATCCATTCGTTTTAAGACTAAGTTCTTAAGCATGTCCTGCTCTTCACCAAAACTTCCCTCCCTAGCTGTCTGATTTTCTATCTCAAATTATGCATCCTTTTTAACAGTATTTTCCCTAGTCTTTTGGCTATTCATCTAAATATTCTTCCTAAGCTCTTTCCAGGAGAAGCACAACAATAAGCCCTGTTTGTTTCAAGTGGAAAAAAACCCCATATGTTGCATTACAGACCTGACCTTACTCATGATTAGTAAAGGTAATTCTATTTACTGCCCCCTTCCTAACATGCCTTGCCTACTCAAAACCCGTGACTTCTAGGAAGATGCTAGAAACTTCAACTTCCCAACTGTTTTATTTACTGTAATAGGATTTATTCTGACTATAAACTTAAACAGCTTTTTAATGCACCTGGAGTTCTTATCTGAGAATATCTTTTCTTTCCACTTCCCAATAGTTTTTTGCCTAAAATTCAAGGCAAAGATTCTTCCTTCTGTAGTTAATAATACTGAATGTTGCCTGTGCAATTTATTAAACTTGCTTATTTAGAACTTTCAAGTAGTTAGGAGACGAGTAAAATTTTATACTAAGAATCCCATCTAAATCTTATACACTAAAGAATAGTATCTAACTCTTAGTTGTATTTTTACCCAAGATTAGTAGAATTTTAAGTTGCTTTGCCAAACGCTTCCAAGTTCCCCAACACACATCTGTCCAGCTCTACTACAGATGATCAAATGTTGCTGAGTTTTGTTACAGCCTAGCAAATAATCTAAAACTTAGGTTTGTTTCCCATTACCACAAAGCTGCAACCTTGCTTTAGAAATGTAATTTTCTCAGTCTACTTTCAAGGAGTTACAGTTCAGTTCTGCAGTTCAACTTAATGGTTATAGAAGTTTCACAGCTAATTTGTCAAATACTGTGCTGCATACTATGCTCATGTATTTAATTTTTTGAGAAGTTAAAAGGGTTTTTTTTTCCCTCCCTTCAGCTGTTTTAATGATGGATGATGACACACTAGTCAGTGCTCATGACCTTGCTTTTGCCTTTTCTGTTTGGCAGGTAATGTTTTGCAATTTGGCAGACAGTGTCTGTGAGTTACAACTGAGATTAATGGTTTTAATTAGAGTAAAACTATATCATAATGTTTCAGTATTGATTTTCTAGCTATAAAGTTAGATTTTAGAAGGATTAAAGCATTGAATAGACAAAATTGCAAAAAAAAATATTCAGTAGTAGCTATACCTGTAGTCTATACCTTTTTAACTTTTCTTGTACATGAACACTGAAGTTGCTGACTGCTGAATTTATTTAAATTCATACTAGGCTGCAAAACAAAAGTGTGTGGGTTTTTTTCTCTAAGAGAAATTGTCTGTAAACTTATTTTGAGTGCCAAATATACAGCTGCAAATTGTGGATAGATGTTTCCTGGCACTACCTGCTATGGAATGAGGCATATTGTGTCAGTTTTACAAAACTGTAATTGCAACACGTGTCAACAATCTCATTATTTCCTGGCAATAGTCTTGTGCTCTTCTCATTTAAAAGAAGCATAAATCTCTTATGAAAATACTTAACATGCATTTCCGTGTGGGTTTCATTTTGATTTTTCAAATTTCTTTTTTCTTTCAGCAATTTCCAGAGCATATAGTGGGATTTGTTCCTAGAAAGCACATTTCTACTCCTTCAGGTGTATACAGTTATGGTAGCTTCGAATTGCAGAACCCTGGATTTGGAAACGGAGATCAGTATTCTATGGTTCTTATTGGTGCAGCATTTTTTCATAGCAGATATTTAGAAGACTTTCAAAGACAGCCAGAAGCTGTTTATGCCTTAATAGATGAAACTCAAAATTGTGATGATATTGCCATGAATTTTCTGGTAGCAAAGCATACTGGCAAGCCTTCAGGGGTGTTTGTGAAGCCTGTTGATATAAGAAATTTAGAAAAAGACACTAACAGTGGCTATTCTGGAATGTGGCACCGAGCAGAGCATTTGTTACAGAGATCTTACTGTGTAAATAAACTGGTTAATATTTATGATGGCATGCCTTTAAAATATTCTAATATCATGATTTCTCAGTTTGGTTTTCCTAATTATGCCAATCACAAAAATAAATTATAAGCCAATGAATTTAAGGGGTTAGATGTTAAACAATACTCAGTGAAGTGTACTGAGTTCAAGGAGAGAAGAAGGTGCAATTACTGCATCTTGGCCATCTTATTTGTAGCCTCTGAATTTTTTCCATATGGCTTTTTATGTAATTTTTTTCTTCCCCTTTCTTACTAATTTTCCAGGGTAAGCTTTTAGAAAACTTAAATATACACCAATGTTTAGCTGTGATAAAATCACCTTCTTTCCTTAAAATCTGAAAACCTATTAGTTCATTAGGCCAGTTCTTCAGAAACTTGCAGACAAAAATTGACTCCTACCCTGCAGTGCTTATGCTTTGATATTTTTTTTAAAAAATATGTATCTAGTCAAATGAGGTCTAGGCATGTATTTGATAATTACCTGTTGAGATGATTCCTTGCCTTCCCGCTCCTGTCCTCACCCCCTCCTACCCAGTTCCCAGTGAAACTATAGAAGGGCTACAGTAAACTGTTGGCCAGGCTTCTAGACTCCTGTACAAAACACCTTTGAAGTTTGTATATAAGCTGTTCTTTATTCTGAGATGTTTCTGAACCTCCTACAAAAGCCAGCCAGGAAACAGTAGCTCATCTTAATCTAAGATAGTCCTAAAACCATTGCCTGCAATAGCTACTACTGCTGAGATAGTGGAAAATTATCTCTGATGTGGCTTTTTCCCCGATTATTAATATGCCTAGAGTTGCTGAAACACTGCAAGCAGCTGAAAAGTAAAACCTAGCAGTTGGAAATGTAAGAAACATGAATACATGAAATATGAAACTTATATAAGCATCCAGAAGAAATGGATGGGATATTGCTTATTAATACTCTATTTAATACATAGTTTTATTTTGATATTTTGCATGTACATTGTTACAAAAATGTGCCCAAAAAATCCTCACTTTTTAAAAATGTCTTATTTACAATTCCTAATAAGAGCAAGCTGTTCTGCATTTATTACAGAGTGTACACTTTGTAATATGACAGATCTACTTTTTTATAACTACTCCTTCAAATGAGTATGCACTTTTTCGTTCTTTTCATCTCCAATTTTGGTGGCTATGACAACAGAATTAAAATGTGCAATGAATAGGTAAACCCTTATTAAAAAAAGGTTTGAGTTACAGTGATATTTGACAGGGCTGGACTGTTATCAGTCTCTGAATCCCCTGGTTTCATCTATAAAAAGAAACAAAGCTATTAAAAGCTTTGGTTAGATTTGGATTCTGCAGTTCTGGAAACATCATGTTAACATAGACAGGACACACCTTTCACGTTGCAGTTACAGAACTTTTTTGTGGTAGGAGGAAATAACAAAAGATGGTGATTTTCCTGGATCACAGGAAGGAATCAATTCTGGCATCCAAAGTAGATATAGTTTCATCTGTATCAACTCTTAGTTGATTCTTAGTATCAGTTCAAAGGTATCTGTGGGTAATCAATAACAGCTAATACCTAGTACGCAGATAGCATCTGCACAAATGGTGTATAATTTTTTGTAATTTTAGCTGAACAAAGTGGTTGAAAAATGTGACAAGTTCTTTATAGCAGGGATGATTCTGGGGTTTTTAGGTTTCTTTGGGGGAATGGACAATTCTGTCAGTGTTAAAGTTTGGTTTCTGCTCAGTGAAGTCTCCCTAGTACTTTTGCAAGATTTAAAGGGCAAAAATCCTGAAACAGCAATGTAAAGTCTGCTTAATTTTGTTTTAATAGTGAAAAGTAGCTTTTATTTATTGTGCAAAGTAGTGAAAAGTATTATATAAATAGGTCTATGATCTTTCCAGAAATGCAACTTTCCTAGTGGTAGTTTACTGCATTTCATTTACTTACTGGTCTGTAATTTCTGTTCTGTGCAGTATCAACTAGAATTGTGAAGACTCACAGATGTTGTTTACCTTACTTTTGAAATGTGAAATGAACTGTCAACTCAGCCAAATCTTAGCATCGGGTTCTTTGTTGGGGAGGAGTTGTTTTGGGTTGGTGTTTTTTTTTATTATTCTGTATCACTGAATGAATTAATAGAACAAAGCTTTTATTATACTGGTAAATTTAATTTGTACTGTTGTCAAATAAATTACATAAAACAGATTTGTGATATAATTATTTTCAATCTATTGATCAAATTTTCCAGTGTTAGATGTCTAAAGTAAGCTCACAGTTTGCACACATATAAGCAGCACAAAGATTTCGTTTTTAAAAAACATGGTTTTGTTGGCACATACGTTCACTTAATTTAGGTAAGGCCGACTCATAAGGAAACAAAGCCATCAAAAACAAGAGCCTTAAGCAGTTAGGCTCAGATGGCAAAGAAAATTCAAAGTCTAAGACTTCAGCTCTAGTCATAATTCATTGTGCTTGGGAACCAAAAGGGGCTTGTTTATTTCTTGTTGACTGGTAACTTTTTATCACTTGAAGGTTATAAAAGTGCCTTAAGATTCTTTAATGAAATGTATTACTTTGTATTTTTAACAAAATTATATGCATCTGATGATCTTCTAAGAGATTACCTAGATGTCATTTGGACATATTTTGGAGTCTAAACAGATTCATCACCCTCTCTGTAGAAATTAATGTTTATGCAATACATGATTTTAAAAATGGTATCCAAAAGATATATTTGAAAAATCCTTGTGGAAAAAAATCAGGATATGGTCTTAAAATGATGCAACAGGACTACAAGAAAATTGCTTCTTTACCTACTGGTTAAAAAAATGCCACAAGATGTCACTGTAGCCTTGATACTTGATATCGGATGTTTAAAGTAGTAATTGAAATTGATTATAATAAAATTGTATGAGGTGAAAACATTGTTAAAGCTAGCATTGTACAAGGTGAAATTCATTAGATAATCATACTAAAAGCTATGAGACAATACTAGAACTGAAAAAACCCATGGAGGTTATTTTGTACATGTTCTTACAGGGAAGAAGAGAAAGATTAAGTATTTTCTATGCCTACAAAGGCTCTGGCTAATTGCCACAAATGAGAACTTGCATGCAACCAAAACAATACCTGTAATTTTGCAAAAAGGTATATAAGCGGTACACAAAACATTTGTCAGTGGGGCTTCAGTTTTTAGTCTACCTCCTAGATTTTTCAGCCTAGCTAGATGGATTTACAAATAATGGGCTTTAACACAAACTATGTACCTAGGGATTCTAGGTACTGGATAGCTAGCCAGCTTCCTGCTCCATCTATGCTTCTGTTGCCCAAGATACCTTAGATAAAGCTAATGTGAGTATGTTCACACCAACTCCCCTCAAGTAGCATGCAGCACAGACTGTAGCAAAAGTTTGAGCTAAAAAACAAGTTCTGGAGAAAATATGCTGGTATCTCTCTTTTTACACAAGATATGTTACACCTGGGAGAATTACTTGTAAATTAAAAAATGCAATATGTTAAATACAAGTGAAAGTCCTATAGAACAATATAGGAAATTATAAACATTGATTTCCATGAAAAGCAAGTATCCTCCAAGCACCTTTACTTAGTTTGCTGTTACAGAAGACTCAGTCTTGCAAGCATCTTGTATGGAATAATATTTACTACTGAGAATGAGGTTTATTACCTAAGTTCACAGAACCAGGCCCAAAAGTATTTTCTGTAGTACTTCAGCATGTTTGTAAGG